TGTGAGCGGTTCCCACTACTGACATGAAGCTCTATTCAAATTATTAATGCAATTCTCTCAGTTAAACAGCACCTCATGATCTGACTGTGGTTCTTGCTGGCAGCTGAAGGATTTATATTCCACCATGAATTAATCTTCAGTGAAAATAGGTGCCAAATCTCCAACTCATTACACATCAGCACAAAACTATCGGTGGAGACCAATAATGTCTATCATTTTGGGAGCGCTCTGCTTCTCTAGAAAGCCTCATTTTAAACTCCTCCGCAGGAAATGGGTTTGCAACAAGAAAAGTCCTTAATAATTGATAATAGCCTCCCCAACTCCAAAAAAGCCCTGAACTCTTCTTTCTTCACTCATTTCTGAATGTGGAGAAAGGCTGAGGGAACAGGAGTGTAGAAATTGCTTAGCAGTGTATCTTAAGAAAGACCTTCCACTGGCTGTCACTAGTTGAAATGTTGAGATTCTTCACTGATACAAAGAGCTTTTAGGAACACTTCACAGCCAGCTCTTGCAGGTCCCCAGCTGCAGACCAAGGCTAAACGAGCTCAGCAGCTGCCCCACCCTCACTGCCTTCTTCCTCCTTTCACAGCAAAGTAAAGCAAAAACTTTTCTCTCTCTAGACCTGTGAACAGGAAGCCCAGTGCAAAGCCCAGCACGCCAAGCCCACACTCGTAAGCATCTGCACCTTTTGGCTTCTGGATCGTCTGCTGGGAGCTGCCACCGCATGAACCCATCCCCTACGTTATCTGTAACGCTGCTGCTCCTCATGCACTCTGCCCGACGGACTGCAAAAGAAAACACTCCGCAGGGACACACGCACAGCAAGCAGGCACTGTTTCTGTGCACTGCACGCTACAGCACAGCTCCTTCCAAACCCTGGCCTTGGCACATCAATTCCCGAGGCCAAACACCATGGCTATTGCCAGGGACGGAGCTCTGGGGCTCAGGCAGAAGGAACAGGTCAGTCCCCATGCTGACATGTATCGGTGATAAGCTCTTGAGAAATAAGGATCTTGGCAGGTCCTTTGCTCAAGGGTGTGTGATACTTCTCTCTAAAATGAAGGCAGAATTTTGATGTGCTAAAAAACGGCTTTAAAAATAAATGCCCTCACTTATCACACTCTGGTCTTGTGGTGCCACTTATTTCCTACGAGTTTTACTGTTTCATCTCGTGTCGCACTAGGCTGCACTGAGAAGTTTAAGAATCATCAAAGGGCCTTAACATTTTAGGTTCCTACAGTCCTGGGAGCTGAGCTTTACTGCTTCCCTCTTGCTATCCTTGTTCTGCTGCTCTTCCACCGATTTCAGCAGTTGTGCCTGAACAAGGAATCAATACAGGGGAAGACGCGACACAGAGCAGCCCTGTGGAAAGGACTTGGGGGTACTGGTGGACAGAAAGCTGGACATGAGCCAGCCATGTGCACTCACAGCCCAGAAGGCCAATCCCACCCTGGGCTGAATCAAACGCCGTGTGGCCAGCAGGGAGAGAGAGGTGACTCTGCCCCTTGGCTCTGCTCTGGTGAGACCTCCCCTGGGGTACGGCGTCCCGCAGCACGGGAAGGATGTGGATCTGTTGGAGCAGGTCCAGAGGAGGCCACAAAAAAGCGCTGGAGCACCTCTGCTACGAGGACAGGCTGAGAGAGTTGGGGTTGTTCAGCCTGGAGAAGGCCCTGGGGAGACCTTACAGTGGCCTTCTAGTTCTTGGAAGAAGGCTGGGGAGAGACTGTTTACAAGGGAATAAGACAAGGGAAAATGGTTTTAAACTCCATCAGAGTAGATTTAGACTAGACATTAGGA